TTCCACCTCGCTTTCTTCATCATTATCTGCTGCTACTATGCTTTTTGGCTTTCTTTTAATCTCTATTTTTTTTTTTTTTTCAGGATCCATGCCTTCCTTTGCCCCACCTTTTCAGATAAAGCTGCAAACTTTTCACATGAGCTCACCTGGTGCCCTTAAGTCTCACTGTAGGTCAGGCTAACAGCAACCAACCACACCAATGCCACATCTTGAACATTGGTTGCCTTGAAATTCCCTCACCCGAGCACTGAGTCCACCACCCTTAACCTTAGCCTCCCACAAAGTCTCTGGACACAGGAAAAATGAAGACACATTTTTCTGCAAGGGTTTGACACGCATGGCCTTTAGCCCAACTGTAAATGAGTCTCTGTTTCCAGTTGAAACCTCCTGTCTTTATTGTCTTCATTCCTCTCTACCTTCTAAGGTCTGGCCAGAATTTCCAACCCAACTGGGTTTACAGCATTCTAGAGTTTCTCTAGCTGGCATCTTTACACCCTCCCAAACTCCTCCTCCTCCTGCAAACCAGTTTCAAAGTCTTCTAACCTGCAGCATGGACAGTCACAGCAACAGTCCCATCACTGTTCCAGAACTGGCTTTCACCATATTTGCCATCAGTAGGACAAACTACCTGGCACCCCCAGCTTAAAGGGGAGCGGGGCTACTTGGGTTCCTGCTTTTAGTCCATTGTTGGCTGGGCCGGAGGCAGAGACCACATGGAGGAGAGCGTGGCTGAAAGGAGGTGTCCAACTCGTGGCCACCAGAAACGAGAGCCCGGAGGAGCTGGGGACAGGAATGACTCTGGGCCACGTGCTCAGCGCCCACCTCCAGCAAGCCCACCTCCTCACGCTCATTCAGCTGGTGGAGCTGCCCACGGACGCACCCACTGAGGAATGTAGCTTTCCCATGACGGCAATTACCTCCTAAAACCAGGGGACCCCCGGAAGCCACAACTAGGGCCATTAGCTACACAATGGATATCAACCTCTGACACTCCCTCCCCCAAGGTGACCACTGAGGAACCTAAAGTTGCTCCCTTTTCAGTCACGGAGTGGAAAGTAAACTAGGGCCCACTGACCTAGCACATCCAACATAGACCCGAGCAAGGATTCCCACTGGTTTCCTTATTTTTCTGTAACGATTTTCTCTTTCTCTTATGTCATTGTTTTGTGGGAGCAAATAGGTCATTTTTGCAGTGGGCACCTCATGTTCCTGACGAGACTTTGGCCGCTTCTTGGTGAAGCCATTGCACTTACTCCTCACCTGGGTGCTACCTGCGAATTATTGCTGAGATCTGGACACTTGAGTAGTTTCAAATTCTTTGGACCAGAAAATTTCAGAGGAAGTGCTTGTCTCAGAACCAGGGCCTCTCTCGGCAGGCTGCCTCACTTTCAGTAAGATCGACGCTGGCTGATCGCTGAGGACACTTGCCGCTGTGGTTTGTTTCTGGATTCTGCCTCAGAGTCTCTCCCGCTCCAGGGCAGGGCTTTGGGAAGGTGATCGACTGCGAGACACAGACGCCTTCTGGGGCCTTCCCTCCCTCTCGGCTTCTGGCGTGCTAGGCAGGCGCTTCTCTCTGCCATGAGCTCCTGCCTTGGAGCCAGCTGACTCCGAGCTGAAACACTAGCCAGAATAACCCTCCCCTCCTTTAGGTTGCAGGCGTTAGGTGCTGTGTCCCAGGGATGAAGACAGTGACCAGGACTCTGTGCTAACCGTCTGTTACTCAGTTTTGGGCCAAGCTTTTCACTGTGTACTGTTTACAAAGCCCATGGATGCTTGTCCTGGCTACATTAACACGGCCTTGTTGTGATTCTATTGTCCTTTCTTCAAAGATAACTTGGCAACTTTTAAAAAAGAGGATACTTCCTCAGTTTACCTATTGCTTACCCTAAAATAAAGTTTGTACTGGAAGGCAGAATAAATGCACTAACTTTTGTTTTATTTGCAAATTTCCAAAGCGACAATTGGCACTGTGCCAAATTCCAATTATTAAAAAAACCCAGCTTTTAAGAGCTAATAATCAATTGGATTTCTATATGTTAGGCATATCTCTTTTTTAAATTTTTTATTCATTTGTTAAGCATATTTCTAATAATTGTGGTCATCGTGTTTTGTAATGCCCGGCTGTGGCCAGGGGGCTCCTCTTCAGTCAGTGCTGGTGGTCCTGTGACATGAGCCACGTCTTTGACAGTGTTTCTCGTTTTCTAGCAGAAGAAGATAATGTGTTTTTGGGCACCTCATCCTCTGGACAGGAATTTGCCATTTTTTCAATAGTTCTGATTATTTATAGTGAAAAATTTTATTTAGGGACAGGAGCCAGGAGCCTAAGGTTGCTCATTCTTACTCTATTCTCATTGCACTTTATAAAGGTTATGATGTATTATGATAGTTCCGATTCCAATTTAAGACTTCTGAATTCAAATGTCGTCGCTTAATTTTATTGCACTTTCTCCTCTGCAGAAATACCTGTGTTCTTGTGGTGACTTTTCTCTACCTTAATTTTTATCGTGAAAAATTTCAGACCTTCATGCAAGAACAATACAGAGTACATGCACTCCCTCCCTGAGGCCTGACTGACACTGCCTTGTGACACGGATGTCCGCTGAAGTCTCGGGGACAGAGCTGTGAACATCAGGACATTTTAGCTCTAGCACAATCTCCTGAGAATTGGGTATTCTCCAGGCAAATTGCGATGCACTTGCTATGCCTTACCAAGTACACTGATAAAAAACATTATTAGTTTTAGAAATTTATCTGGCTGCCCCGCCTAGAAAATTCGAGGTCTCAAGTTCGATCTCCCTTATCACACACACACACACACACACACACACACACACACTCACACAAACCTGGCTGCTCACTCAATGGAATGCATGGAGATCCCCCCACTCCTGAGTGCAGCCCTCCCGGTGGTGCCCCAGGGGGGCGCGTCTAAGAGCAGGCAGACAGTGGAGTCACGGACGCTCGGATCCCTCACGTGAAATGCTGCAGCATTTTCATGAAACAGCCACACATTTTCTTGTATCTGGAAAACCACGTCGGTTATGTAAAATGACTAGCACCATGTGACTGCTACGGGCATAGATGCCGCACTTCATTGTTTACGGACTAACTACGAGAAAAAATGTCTCTGATTTTCAGGTCAGATGCCACCTTTTTCTGTGATGTGTGATTCACGGTTGGTGGCACCTAAGAGACTCTTCCAATACAGAAGTTATTTTCCTTTAGCTTTGGGAAAACTTATTCATATTTCTTTGGTTGTTAATATTTTATCCTATCTTTTCTTTCTTTAGTGAGAGAATTTTTTGGCATCTCTTCAGGGTATGTTGCCTTTCTATTCACCTTTTTTTGTCTTTTGATCTTTTGTACTCACTTGAATTCATTATTTAAGGTTTTATTTAAATTTTTTTATTTTGTTAATAGTTCTGAAAAGGCTAACATCTTCTTTGTAATCTCTAATCTTCTAGAGCATTTCGTTTTTGCCTCACAGATGTGACATTTTCCCGAGATCCTCTGTGTTGGTGTCACGTGGCTTCCTCCAGCGCATGCTGGATTTTCCTGCTGTCTTGTTATTCTTGGTTGTGCTCGTACTGAGAGGGGAAGATCCACACTGTGCTCTAGGCAGGTAGGTTGTGCTTCGTAAGCTGTCTGAGTGGAAGTCCTGCTTTCCTGATAAGCATTTTGTTGGAAGGCAGGACCAGCAGTGGGCTTTTCGTACTGATGCTGTCTGCCTGACACGCGAGCGCCGCAGGCCCGGGCATGCCTTCTGGGTGTGCTTTACCTCCTACAAAGGTTTAATCTGCCCACTTGGCTGGTCCAGTAGACCACAACAGAATAGGCCAGCCCCACTTTGCTTCTCAGGTTTACAAGATCGCGCCTGGATACCCTTAATGAAACCGCCGGGTCTGAGGTAGCCTGAAAGCCTGGGCAGAGTCAGCGTCCATCCCAGATGTCAGCATTTCTGCTCTCAGCCTTTCCCTGTAGGAGCAGAGCAGCGCAGCATGCCCACCCCCGGGTCGGGGACGTGTGCTTTTATAAAAGGTGACCTCTATTTATACATATAATTGATAGAAATGGAAGTGGAAATTGCTGTCACAGATAAGGGGACGACAGGAGTGTGTGCCCCATCACCCAGAACATGAATAGGTTGATTGGAAAAAGGGGCGTGACCAGTCATCCTCTCCTCAGGGTGTCTGTGGGCCCCACGGTGAGGCAGGCCTGAAAGGCGCATGTAGCTGAGTCATCATTAGGCATTGTGCTGTGTAGCTAGATTTTGTGATGTGCAAAATGCTGATTTTTTTTTTTTTTTTTTTAAATTTTGTGCAGGGTCTAACTATATAGCTCAAACTAGTAGCGATCCTCCTGTTTTCAGCCTGCCCAGTGCTGGGATTACAGGTGTAATGCCCAAACTTGGTAGCTGGCTCAGCGTGCCTCGGGGGGCTGGGCTGGCCTGGCATGTGGTGCCAGGGGTCCAACTCCAGCCCCTGTGCTTGTCTAAGTAGGTGCTTAGTCCACTGAGCTATCTCATAGGCCCTTGCTGATCTGTTTTGAGATGGGATCTTTTTTTATTTTGGGGGGTGGACTTGAACTGAACCCCCCATCCATGGATTCAGATGCATTAGATGATCACAGAAGAGGTTCTCACTGCCAAGGTCAAGCTGCCTGTGGCCCTAGCCCAGAAAGAGGGGCCACGGTCCTGGCTGGAAATTGGGCCCTCTCATGGACACTTTTGAGATCCCAGAACTCGGGCTCCGCTTGCCAGGCCCCAGTGTACCCATGGCTGTGACCACTGAGCTCAGCATGCAGCCTTGGTCTCACAGGGACCCTCTGTATCACTCGCTTCTTGGGTCTGATGGTGAGACTAGAGAAACACATCCTCGAAGCCCTGGCTGCCTTGGCTCTGGACCGTACAAACCAGGTCTGGGCTTGTCTCTCTTTCTAAGCTCACATTATTTTAATGTTTCTCAACCTGAGACAGAACACTTAGCTTGGTGCAAGGAGGCACTTTCAGGAAACATTTTTCTTTATTAAAACAAGTGTTTCAGACCCTTCCCTTGTTCACTGTGGTGACCCCAGCTCAGGTGCAGCACTTCGCCTTCCCGTTGTAGCAGGTGCCCACAATTCTGGAGTATGTGGGGCAAGCGGAGTAGAGGCAGAACCCTCCATTCTTCACGCACTGGTAATGGTCTGCTCTGTGGCCAAGACCTGTGAGGCTGGCACCTGTAAGGAGGGAACAGAGCATTTCAGACGCCTGGCCTGCAGCGGCAAGGACTGGGACGTTGTGGGAAGGGAGGACAGGCAACAGCAGCGCATGTGAGGGAGGCTCCTGCTGCAACGAGAGCACAGAATTGAAATCAGACCCTTGAAGAACTACTCGCCAAGGAGGAACTGCAGGATCTCATGGGTTTTCTTTTGCTCAGAGAACTAAACTTACTCCCCAAATAAGTCTTTTACTGCATTATGCTTTCCCCCAAATTCATGTCCTCTATTCTCAAAATGCTAAAGTTGTCTGAATAAATATATGAAAAAAAAAGTTCAACATTAGTGATCATGCAAGAGATGCAAATTAAAACAATGGGATTTCATCTAATGCCTATCAGCAAGAGCTCAACCAATAATAAATGCTGGTAAGGCGGTGGGGAAAGAGAAACCCTTCTCCACTGTTAGTGTGAGCGTAGCCTGGTGTAGCCACTGTGGAAATCAGGATAGAGATCCCTAAGAAAGACTGAAACTAGAGGTCCCACTTCACCCACCTATTTGTACCTTCCAAAAATAATTAAAAAATCATACCACAAAGATATATATGCACCCATGTTTACGACACCACAGTTTATAATAACTAAACCTTGGAAACATGCCAAATACCCATCAACTTAGGAGTGGATAAGAGAGATGTGTTTTTTATGCTAGGAAGCACTACTCAGCCATAAATAAGGATAGATGTGACAATTTTAGGTAAATGAATGCACTCTGAGACCAAACTCTTAAGTGAAATAAATCATACAGCTGCACATGAAACCATCACAATCATTCTCTGGTGTAAGAAGCTGAATGTATAAATAAGAACAAAAATATACAATAGATGTTGCTCAAAAGAAAGGTGAATGGGGTTGGGGGGGAGAAAAAAATGAGAAAAGAAGAATAAAATGGAAGCAAAGCTTTGGAAGCCAGGGGAGTTGAAGAAGGGGAACTGGAGAGAAAGAAAGAGGAAGCGAGGTATATTGTGTACAAGTACAAGTTCCCTATTATGCCTGTGATCATTATGTATATCTAAATTATTTTGGGCCAGCAAGATAGCTCAGCGGACTAAAGCGCCTGCTTAGGCAAGCTCAGGCAAGCACAGGGACCGCAGTTTGATCCCCGGTACCACACGCTGCACCAGCCCTGCCCCCAGGGCCCGATGAACTGGCCAGAATCTGCACACAGAGGTACATGCCTGTACTCAGCGCTGGGAAGGCTGAAAACAGGACCATCGCTATGCATCTGAGCTGGGTAATGAGACCTTGTAATAACCAAACACAGTAAAAAAAAAAAAAAAAGTATCAATAAAATTAGCAAAAATTTAAAAAAATAAAGTGGTTGCTTGGCCATGAACACGTACTACACACTCCCGTTTCAATGACTACAGTCATATTGCCCCCTCTGACTGAACCCCAGCTCAGTGACTTCTGCACCACTTCTTCGGGGGAATCCTATGACCTTTTGCTGTGAGGAAGAAGTGACAGTGACTCTACAAACACTTCATAGGTCTCTCCACTTGGTATTTTTTCTGCTTTCTGCCCAGCAGCCCAGAATCTCACAATTAGAAGATGCCCTAGGCTGGCCTCCTCCTGTACCCCGCAGGGGGATAGCTGCTCCCTGATATCCGCGGATGACCATTGGGCTAGTGCCTTCCCAGCTTTAGCTGCTGGGTGAGGTAGGCTGTCTCCCGGGCCTTCAGAATTCCTCGAGTGTAGCCTGATCCTCCATTACCTCACAAAGACACTATATTTGGAGCCAGGGCCACTGAAACATGCATTAAGGCCAAATGAGGTCATGACAGTGGGCTCGTCCAGTAGGACTGGCATTCTCGTAAGGACAGGTGGGGACACACACCACTCCTAGGGAAGATGAGTAAGCTTGTGGGAGAAGGTGCCATCCACGAACCAAGGAAGCAGGCCTCAGCACAGGCCAACCTCGTCACCACTCTTGGTTTCAGACTTCTGGCCTGCAGAACGGTGAGGAGATGCATTTGCGTTGGTCAAGCTGCTGAACGGCATGATTTTGCTGTGCCGGCCCACGCAGAGCACTGCAGTGGTAGTCACCACCCTAGGGGACAGCGCACGCTGACTCTGCGTCCGCTTGTTGGGAAAACGTTCCTCGGGAGACTGACCTTCCTGGAATTCCCACCCAGGCTCCTTTCCTGCTCTCTGCAGTTAAGTCTAACCGCTACTTCATTTTTAGTAACTTCCCTCTTTTTTTTAGTGTTATTGAGAAACAAATAGCAATGAGACAGTTTCAGAATCGATTAGTAGGACAGTTTTAATAATTAATGCATTGCATATTGCTGTATTCATAGTGGTTATTCATAGTACAAGGTGCAGACCTGATATCCTGTCCAAACGCTATTAGTACATATCTTTCTTCCCAATGAATTAAGAGAAAGTAGCTGTATATCTATCCTATTTTGTATATACAGATACAAATGGTTCTTCATTTTTTAAAAATTTTTTAATTTTATTTTTTTTGCAATAAATATTTATAAACAGATAGCAATGAGACAGTTTCAAATCTAATCGGAAGTACAGTTTCAACAAATAATACACTGCATATATTCTTC